TTGTACTCTATGCGAGCACGCACCGGCAGCCAATGCAACTCTCTCAGAAGTGTTTTTGCATGGTCGAATTTGCGTTTGCGGAGAACTATGCGAGCCGCATTATTCTGTGCTATTTGAATTTTATCCAGGAGCGTAGCTGGAAGACCCACCATGAGAGCATTGCAATAGTCCATCTGTAAATAATGCATCTGTAAAAAATCCAGGCTAATTTTCATCAATTGGAAAAAATATTTGTGGATTGAAACACTTACTAAGATATTAAAAGTATAGGCCTACGTTGTAGGATTATAAATGAACAATACCTTTAAAAGTATTTTTTGTTGTTAAAAAATTGTTATAATGTAAATTTACAAGAAAAAAATAAAAATAATTATTGTTTTCATAATAATATCAATCCATTTTAACTACAAATATTACTAATAAATTTTGCTTAATTGCTTTGCGAACCCCACTTCTAATCAACAGACTTACAATAAGAAAAATCATTTTTTGATGAAGAACCTTTTGCCCTTGTAAAAGGAATTCTGTGTTGATTAGCCTTGTAAGCTTTGTTTCCAAATGACTTCTATTACACATGCATTTTAGATGATATTTTTACCAGAGAATTCGGAGGTAATATTTAGTAGCCTAACTCCAGTGGGTATTGATATTTTGGATTATAAATTATTTTTTAAAAAACAAATTGTTTTTATGTGATAAACATTTTTTTAAATGTCTTTTTCAATAAATTTCAGTCAATTAATGTACCATGCTTTTCAGGGGCATTAATTCAATCTATTATTACATTAATTACATAGAAAAAACCCTTTTTAAAAAAAACTCTTATATATTTTTATGATCTTGGGAAATCTTGGGAAATTTGTTCACCAAATCTTGGGAAATTTAAAAAAAGTGAGTGGCAGCCCTGAAATCCTGTTATGTTTACGAAACAAATATTAAGCCTACTTATTAATTTTATATTTAAAAAAACAAAGTATCCTTTTGTACTGACTGATTTATTATTGCTAACTGTTAATTCTAGCCTATTACTAACTACCTCTTTCATAGGGTTGGGGATTGGGGGTTGTCATAGGTTGCAGAGGAAATTGGGCTCTCAAATTCAAATTTACACTTAAACAAATATCCATGAATAAACACACGACCCACGCGTCCTGTAATATAAAACTTAGATCTTTTAAATCTTGGATAGTCTTCATACAATATTAGTGGTACTCAAACTTTGGCCATAAACTCGCCATGAGAACCCCCATCCAAGGCCGTGTCATCCTATAACAAACGTTCACATAATACAGGATACAAGTTTACCCTTTACGGTATAGAGATGTTGATGTGTAACTTATAATTGAAAATTCATAAAATAAAAATATGTGTAGGCCTATTCATTAATAATCTAAAATTATTTAGCAAATTAAATTTAAAAAAATTATCTAACTATTCTTAATTTGGTACATGGGCTAGCAGAGTGATAGCAGTTGGTGGATATCTGGTTTTAAGTGTCTAAGGCAGAAACTTCATTGATTCTGATAATATTTCTATGCCTATTCTTTGTTTTGAGCAAAGTTGCAAGATCGCACTAACACCACCTTCCACCAAATATAATACAATACCGAGATACGCAGCAAAGAGCGAGTTTCCCGGTGCACAGAATGAAATCAAAATTCTTACTAGCCAAAAATTTCTTAAACGTTGGCTTTCGCATAATATCATTTTTGAGTGAATACAGCGACTTAGCTAGGATCTGTGCTCCCAAGGACGACTGTCCGGCGCCTACGTCGTCACACCCGCCCCAAACTCATGGCCATTCCATCTTGTTCGAAGCATTTTTAGTTCACTTTTCCCACCCCCGGTCCGATCACTTCGATCTATCGAGAAGTATGATAGAAGATTCGGGTTCTCTTTCGAGTGAATCGCCCTACATTAGTAGAGACATCCATCGTCACTCGCCGTCTCAATTTACGCACTTTCGCTAAAACGTGATGGGGTTATTTTTATTTATTTAAATAAATGAATGCAAGTTCAGCTATAATTTCACGGTCACTTTGAGCAATGGCGGCGTGACCCATTTTGGGAACCTGTGATTAAGTTGAAATAAGTGAAACACATTACGGGAAAATCTTTTTTCTTTTTTACAAATGACGCAACAAATCAACAATCGTGTCGACAAGAAGCCTTCTTCAGCGAACTAACAACAGTAAAAGCAATATTTTTATTTATTAAAAATAAATCCTTAGCTGCAGTATAGTATCCGAGAGGACAGCAAGAGGAATGTGACGGAACATGCAAGAGGAATGTGACGGAACATGCAAGAGGAATGTAATAGACTATTAATATGTAAGAGAGTTAATATAGGCAATAGGAGACGGAAGAGAGGAAAAGCAAGTCTGCGGCGATTGGTTGCGTAATAAGGAGGGGCGGGAAAAGATTTAACAAGTGAAGGAGAACATGATATTCATGCCATGTGGTATCAAGGTCCCATAAGTCTGATCCAGTTGGTTGGTTAAATGAGTTTGATAGCCAGGTCACTGGAGCCATTGTGGTCAGTTCTATTGAAGTGTTTTGGGACGAGACACTGTTTATATCGCGCTGATTTTGAGGGTGTCCAGTACATCAGTCCGAGAGGCTCCTACCCGTCTCGCCCAGATATACCATGTGGCAGCTGGCACAAACAGCAGCTGGCGTATATAACATTGTGGCTGGTACAAAGGAAACCGTCCCTTATATGAAATCTACCATCTCGGAATGCAATGTGTTAAGTCTGGAGGACAAAATGGCACAATTTGCAACGGCTGCTTCCACATCGCTTGGTTCCAAAGTGGAAGGGGGTAGCACGGATGTGGCTACGCACTAGGAGACCTCGTAGATTCTTATCTCTTCTAAACACAAAGAGAGGTGGGGCTGAGAAAATTTTGTGTGTTTCAGGGTCGGCGAGGAGAATGACACTTCCTTTTAAGGAATATGTGTTAGGCCATGAGATTGTGAGGATGATAGGTAAGAATAAGTTTGGTCCTGTCGCCATTGTAACTCGGACGAGACCTGAAGGCATCAGCACGAGGGATATTTTTAACCAGTTGAAAGGCTGATGAAAATATTGTAATTTAAATTCCACTCTCTGTGTGACGTCACATTGCTTAACACGCCCCGTCCCTCATGACAAGGTTTTCTCTTCCGTACGATTTTTTTTTTTTTTAGCAGAGAAAAGATTTCCTGGGAAATTTTTCCCATCCCGGGTATACAGTTTTAGAATACACTTCTCTTGTTTTTTTTTTGTTTTTCCGCAAGTCACATATAGTCGCTAAACGTAAGGCAAAATCTGTCAAATTGAATCAACTGCGCCGAGTTAGTAAGCTCAATATCTCTATTACACAGGTTGTCGTGTTTACAAGTAACGACCGCATGCATATGTAGAGGCAAAGTGCCCCTTACCACGATAAAGGGCTTTGAAGTATAAGGTTACATTCTTAGAAAGGAAAACACGTTAAAAACTTAATTTTCCAGTTTAATGCAACTGGCGACATATTTAAATGTCACGATTGAAATTACAACTCAAACTTTAAGAGACAAATTAAAAAAAAAGAAAACCCTTTAAAAATCACTACTTCAACTTACTGCTTCATTTATTCTCTCGTTTCAGCCGTCGACCCTACAGAAATGTTTAGCAATCCCACCAAAGATGCACATCCAGTCAGCTGGAAACCTGTGCTCTCGTAACTTGATTATCCCAAGAGGTTATGTTTCAAACTACCTTTACATCATGTTCAGTTTTTTTTTCCCCCTGCCCCCGAGGCACTTCAGATTTTTTTTTTTGGGGGGGGAACCATTACAACATACATGAGTGCACAGCATTACAACATACATGAGTACACACTGTCACAAATGACTGGGGCGGGGGTATAGCTGAAAGAAACCCTGATCATAAAGTTTTCTTTT